CATTTTTTTTCTGAAATGAAAACACTGCATGGGTATTTGAATTAACTGAAAAAATAAAACTTTGTGCATAAAAATAGAATATAAAAAATTGACTCAGAATAAATAACAAGGATTAAAAATTATCAGATTTGAAAGAATCAAGCAATTTAGGTATATACAAAGACACCTGAAAAATATTATTATTATAAGCATGAAATTTTAACTAAGCAAATTTTCTTCATGAATAAAGTTTTCAAATGTTGAAAATAATTTAAAACTACTATAATAAAATAGCCTGCAAAAAAAAGAGAGAGGCTAGAAAAAATCTGATTAACCTTAAGTAAATGCAAACAAGCAAAATGTATTATACAAATGTTATACAGTATATAAAGCATTACGTAATTGTACATCAAAAAAGAAAAAAAAATCCTGCACTTGATAATGGAAAAATAAATCTAACAGAAAACAATGAAAATTTAAAACATGAATAATAAGAAGAGAAATCAAAGTTATTAAAGCAATTAGAAACAACACTTCCAGTGGAAAAATGCACTATGCAGAAGAAATTCCAAAAGGAAATTGAAAGAAAAAGAATAAATAAAGAAAAACCATGAAAAATATGACAACCGAAGCTGACGTCGTCAGGGGGTACCAGCCCTGAAAGTCATAGAAGCAAAACCTTTACTATTGATAGAGCACGACAAATGCCTAAGTCCAGGTAAAGAGAAAATATAATACAAATTACTAAAACCAAATACAAAAGTGCAACACAAATTACAATACAAATAACAAAAACCAAATACTTAAGTATAATACCTAATTATTATTAGTTTTAAGTTTTATTAGTTTTAAGTAAGTTTTTGAACATTGTATTATTTTGTATTGGTTTAAGTATTATACTTTTGTATTTGGTTTCTCTTATTTGTATTGTAATTTGTATTATATTTTTTCTTTACCTAGACTTTGGCAAAACCTTTGGAGTACAGAGAGAGCAACTTTGACATTTGTCGTGCTCTCTCGATAGAAAAGGTTTTGCATTTATGACTTCTGGGACTGGCACCCCTTGACGACATCAGCTTTGGTTGTCATATTTTTCATTTTTTTTATTTATTTATTCTTTTGGTTTAAAAAATGAACTTACAGTGGTGAGAAAAAGTTTGAGACCGTTTTTAATATCTTAAAACAAATTTTAATAACAATTTGAAATGTCATTGTTTCAAAATTTAAACTTTAAAGAACATGTGATATTAATATAAATTAAAAATTAATAATATAAAGAGACATAATATTAAGTATGCTTTTATATTACTAATTTATAGTTTTTAACTTAGGCTACAACAAAAGCCTGAAGAAAGGTTATACATTAGTATTGATGTTAATTAAAAATACTTCTGAAATCATAGTTTTAGTAGTTTATTTTTGTAGTTAACCAACTAACTTCTAAAAGACGTTTTGTTAAATGATTTTGCAAGGTTTTAAAAAATGGAAATTAGCACTTTTTGATTACAGATTTTAGTTGATAAATTGTCTTATGCTTTTTATTTATATACATCTTTTTAACTAAAGATTAGATTAAATTTTTTTTATTAGTAAATATAAGTTTAGACTATAAATTTGACGTAATACCATTACATGATGAAACTATAAATACTCTACAATGTGTAATTTTATCAGCTATGCCTTTTTTTTTTTAATTTGAAATTTTTTTAAAAATGAACAATTTTCCAGCATTTCAAACTGTGTTTTTTATACAACAGAATACTGCAGCAACGATTGAATTCCTGTTAAAGTTGCAAATTTTTTTATCACTGCTTTAATGATGTGAGATTAGCAACGAGAAGTCAGCTTTGACAGGCACTTGCTTTTTCTTTCTTTCTGCAACCTATTGGACTCGACAAAAAAAAATTTGCATAATGGTTTTAGACCTTTGACATTTATTAGAAATTTCCATTCAATATTTGTTAGAAAATATTCTAAGATATAAAAAAGACAATAAAAATTTTGATTAAAAAACTAAGATCTTAAGTTGGGTATTGTAAAGTTTTTGAAAGCAGAACATATTTTTTCAGTTTATCATCTTGACTTTTTTAAGTTTTAAAAAAGACCCCACAAACTTTTCTCCAGCTTGTAACATCATCTGATTTTTATTATATTTTTTACTTAAAAAATTTTTTACATTTTTTTAAACATATTCTTAGACAAATAACTAATTCAAAGCTTAAAAAAAATTATTATTTAGCAGTAATCATATTAATACAGTGCTGGCCTCAGACTTTTTTCTAGCACTATATATTAATAAATTCAAGTAAAAGTACAAATGAAAGAATGAAACAAAATTTCTATCTTACCTTTTGGTACTTGAAATCTGGCAATTTTAAAAAACAAGGTGCTAATGCAGCTATAATATCTTCATCAGAACTGTGCGTGTAACCTTTTAATAATGAATAAATAACATCTGCTCTATTGTCAATTTTTATCAAAGTTGGAGGCTAGGCAAGGAAAAGAAATTATTCATCTGATCTTAAATGCTAACAAATAATGTCAAGAAAGAGCACTAATATAACAATTAAAAACTTTAAATAGTATATGAATAATGGTTAGCAATTAACTTTCTTTAAGTAATCGCATTTTCACACAAATGAAAAAAAAAATATTTAAAGAAATGCTTCACAATTTAACTTTTTACAGAGTGTCATTTCTTTTTTTTTTTTTTTTTTTTTTTTTTTTTTTTTTTTTTTTTNTTCTTTTTTTTTTTTTCTTTTTTTTTTTAATTTTGTGAGACATTCTAAAAATGTGCAGTAAGCTGTGATCAGACTTAAAAGGAAAAACTACCTAATTGTGTGAAACACATTGATTAACTCTCGTAACAAGTTACGACTTTTTGTCATGACCTCTTTTTTGGGAAATTTGTTTGAAAATCAAGTATTTTCTTTTACAAACGTTTAACTTTAATAGAACTCGATATTGATTTATACCACAGAGATGACTATGGTAAAAAACAAAAAAATTTAAAAGAGAAATAAAAAGATGTCACTTGCAAAAACACTTTTTAAAAAATTGAAAAAATACCGGAAATTTAAGCAAGAAAAAAGTTTCTGTAAGAAGCATTTTAATCTTTGAATGTTGACACTGCATTAATAAAAATATCGATGCAAGAGTTTGTTTATTTATTTAAATTGTGTAAAGATGAACCTTGATGTTAAATTTTAAAATTTTGTGAATACAAACCTCAATTTTTGATTTTAAAATCACGTGAGCACAAATCTCAATATTTGGTTTTAAAATGGAGTGAATACGAATCTTGATGCTGGATTTTAAAGCAGAATGAACATGAATCTCAATGTTATATTCTAAAATCACGTGAATATGAATTTCGATATATAAATTTTAAGTCATTTCAACACAAATCATAATAGCGGCTTTTAAGCTGCATGAATACAAAACATGATATCTGATATAAAATCTTGAAAATTCAATGTACGACGCTCAATCTTAAATTGCATTAATAGGATGTGTGATTTTAAATGGTGTGAATGCAATTTAAAATCGTGTTTGCATTGGTAGGTAAAAGCATAAAAATGAATCTTTTTCTTTGTGAAATTTAAAAAAAGCAAACTTTTATTTTGAAAAGGCAGATTTTTTAATATTTTTTTTTTGCAATAGTAGAAAATTTCTGCGTAGAGTACAAATTTTCCAAATGGAACAAATTTTCCAAAAGCGGTGTTTGCATATATTATACAGGTCAGACTGTGATATAAAATTTGTCAAAATTATTTAACAATTTAAATATACATACAGAAGTGCACACAAAACCGTTTCTTTAGGTAATAAATAATTAAATTATCCTTATAATTCACTACTATTTAAAAAGTTGTACAAAAAGTAGACTTAACAATAAATAAAGTGAACAAAGTTATTTATTTCTTACACTCTTATTTCTTGAACATAAGTATCATGATCTTTCTATAAACAAGTTCAATATTTTTCAGATAATTACAAATCATTCCTAATCATCAAATATATCTATTTTAATGCATTTTTATATGATCCAAACTTTGCTGTAATGCTAAGATAAAAATGCATTAAATTTATAATTTAGGAGACAAATTTTTAACTGATATTTGGCAAGAGACTTAAAAAATACTATTTAAATCACTTTTAAAACTAACTTACTGTGTTATAATAAAATGCTTTGCGGATCTATTAACCTTTCTAATCTTCTTGTTTTTCTTATTTATCAAGATGGTGAAGAAAAAAGTTTTTAAAACCTAACTTTTTTATAAAGAAAATAAAGACAGTAAGTTATTTATTTTTTTTTATTCCTAAGGAAGATAAAGAATATTTTAAAAATAATTAAGGCAGATACAGAATATTTAAAGAATATGATTTGGAAATAGTTGAAATGTAGAATACAATAATTAATAATATTTTGATACATGATGAAAATAATGATGATGATAATACAAAAAAAAATGCTACCAAATAAGCAAAATGCATACTCCCTTCAAACCTTAAGTTTATAAATCAAAAATTTCCTTAAATTGTATGTTGAAAAGTACCTTAATTATTAATTAATGACAATAACACCACAAAATAAAAATTTGAAAAAAGAAATTTCAAACAATTTTCAAAATATTTGAAGACTTTGCGTCTTCAACACATTTTGCATTAATCTATGGATACTAGTGAAAAAATTTTAGATAAAAAAAAAAGTTATTCTTTCTTTAAGATTTATTCAAATGTGTGCCATAAAAATTTATGGAAAAATGGTATTGACCAATCTTTACTAAAGATGGCTAGTATTATACATATTATTGTTATTTGACTACAGCAGAGCAGAAATTTTTAGCCAAAGAGACCTGTAAAATATTTCAATTACATAATTGAAAATAAGCAATGCAGCAAAGAAAAGCGCATGAACAACCTTTACAAAGCTAATACACAACCTACAAAATTTATAAATGCCGCCACATAATAAAAAAAAAGAAACAAATAAATCAATAACTGACAATAATTTATTCAAAAAAAATCTCTATTTTTATGTGAAACAATGCATTGTACAAAAGGCATAAAAATTTCACAAATTAAATGACGTTAAAAAATATATGTAAAATATATGTAGATATGTAAAATAAGAAAAGTGAAATTTTAATGCTTTGAAATTGAAATTTTTATGCTACTTCTTTTTATAAAAAGAAGGAAGAGGAAAATAATTGTTTTAACAAGTATATATATTTTTTGAGAGAAGTTTTCATTTGAAAATATTTTGAAACATAATTACAGAGTGACCACCAACACTAAAAAAAAGTTCGTTCTGATTTTTCCAAAATAATTTCATTAAATTTTTTTGATTTTGTAACTAGTAGCATATATTTTATTATTAATTAAGTTATCCTTTATTTTTAAACAAAAAATATTTTATAAAACATATGAAGTGAGCATTACATATGAAGTGAAAAAAAATTATTACAAGATCTTATTTGGAAAAAAAATATCAGACTATCAGGAGCATCAAACATAAATTTATTCATTTTAACTAAAAAAAAATTTTGATATTTTTGCTTAAGTCCTAAATACTTTCCTGATTTTTTTTAGATTGATAAGATTTAGATTGCCAAAAAAAATATATAAAAAATATTTGTATCATTTGTTAAAATGAAATGTAAAAATAATGGTCATTTTTAAAACGAGTTATTTTTTTCATGAAAAAAAGAAATAACATGTAATAAATATTTTCACAAATTAAGTACGTAAAATATTGCAAAACTTTAAACATTTGATAAGACCTCGTGGGTAAGCAAACTTTTTAAAATTTTGCTTTAATGTGATTGTAAATTTTGAGAGTTTTACAAATGAAATTTTAGTAAAGCAAACATAAAACAGTTTAATTAAAAACGGTAAAGAATAATAATTTTCAAAAAAAATTAAAATATATTCAGTAAACAAATTATATAATTTTCCAAAACATAAATATATAAAAAATTTTAAATATAATAAACTTACAACATTATCAAGTATATGACTGAAGCACTCTATGGCAATAAGATGATGACATTTTTGATGACTGTCCAACATAAATATATGTGGTGGTGAGAAAACTTCACATAAATAGTCTGCTAAGTAAGGATGCTAGAAAGAGAAATATACTTATAAATAATCTAAATTTATGCACACCTCACAATTATAATGACATGTTCATTAATTTATACCTTTTGGAGTTTATTATGAACAGATGAATTTATAAAAGAAATAAATCTTGAGATGCAAGATGACTTTTTTTTTATTATTATATTATTTTTCACTTTACAAAAAATCTTTATTTAGAAATTAAGGATTTCCTCTGTATCAGGCATAAAATGACATATCAACATTGATGACAACATCAATGATGGCACAAATGACATCGGACATCAAATCAACAGGAAAAAAAATCCATCTCAGAGGTGTGCGGAAGTTATAGGAAGGTGTAAAAAGTATAGGGGGTAAACTAATCTAATAAAAATACTTGAGAGATTTTGTATAATCTTTTTCTCTGTGGAAGTGAACTAGATAAATCATAAAGTTTTTCGAGTTAATATGTTGAATATTACTTTGCACCAGCGTTATCCAAAAAAAAATTTGTTTTTAACTGTAGTTTCACTCTTTTATTAGTTTTTGAGCAGTAAAATGAAGTAGAGAATTCCAAAACGAAGATTATGTTTGTAAATTACATATTTCATAACACAGATTATAGTTATCAGATAAATTATACAAAATGAACAATTTAGAACTGCGTGACTATTTAACCAAAAAACGTTACTCCATATTATTTCCACCCCCTTCACCATTTAACCATTAACAGTAATTAATTCACTATCTAACAGTATACACAAAATACATGCCACTCTTGGCATTTTAATTAGAGATACAAAAAGGGAGTTCATTACAAAAGAATTTAGAAAGGTCATCTAAACATTCATGACCAAGCAAAACTTATTTTTTTAGATGTATTGTATTTTGAGTTGCACAACATCTTTCACAATCAGTTATAGGTATTAAAAATGCTGGAGCATTATATTTCCTAAATTTAGAATACATAATAGAGATGTAACTATCCCCACTGTTTCCACACTCACTGATAATATAGATTTATACAGTGATTAATTTCTTGAAGGGATTTTTTTTTCTACAGCAAGAAAATTAATGGCTTTTAAAAAAATTTTACAAAAAGTTTTTTCTCCCCTGATAAAACTTTACAGGTGCAAAAAATAAATTTGATGCGAGAAATATGTCTCCAGCCGCATTGGTGAAATTTGCTTTAAACAACAGATAAAAATAAGAATAAAATATTATTTAACAGTTCTAAAATAAAAATTAAAATAATTAGCACAGTACAATAAAAGTTAAAAAATTCCCAAACATTTCTTTTTTCAACAAAACGTATTATTTTGTAAACTTACATTAACTTGAAGTAAAAACCATGAAAATATGTAACAACTACTTGGATTTTTGTACCATTTGTCCTTCTCAAAATAGGGACGTATTTCTTTTAAA